TGGAACCTCAGTGTTACTTGGTGGATCATGGCACTTAGTAAGTAACGTGATAAGTACCTTAAGTGGGCTATAAAAATACCTTAAACTACCAAACCCTGCCTTTTTGTAGGTTCTCATTATAAACCCTAATATTGAATTTATAGGGGCCCGACAAAAAAGTAGGTTTTGGTAGGTTAAGGTACAAGTAGTTTTGAGTATAGTAGCCACCTTATACTTACTTGTTACCCTAGTTACTAAATCTCACGACCCTCTAAGTAAGCCCCAAAACCCTAACCCTATAAACCCTACACCCTAAACCACTAGATATAGGGGGTCTTAATAATTAGAATCGGGTTTTGGGGCCCAATATACTATAACCCAAAATAAGGACCCCCCCCCCCAAAAAAAAAAAAAAAAAGTATAGGTAAGTGTCAAGGCCCCTACATTATAGTACCCTTATTAATAGATCCCTTATAGTAACCCTTATAGATCCCTTTCATCTGCGCAGTTCAGGGTTGGTTGAGGGTTTTTGGAAGGGTGTTCATATCGGTCTCGTGGGGCGTCCTAGAAGGTTTTGGGGGGGCTTCCGTCCAAGGTTCGGAATGGCGAAAAGGCTCGCAGCCACAGTTTGAGCTACCGCCGGAACCCCCGTCAAATCATCTTTGGCGGCTTTAAAGACTTAATTTAATTGAGTATCTGTTTATACTACGGATGACTTCAACATGTCTGCAATCATGGGCCTCATCAATTCCCAGACGCTGTGCGCAAGACGGCCGCGATTCAGGTTGCTGCTGCTTCGCAGGGATTGAAGGAATGAAGTCCACAACCACTAAAAAACACTACCACTACCACTATCACGACTACTATGACGACCGCTCCTACGGCTATTACTACTACGACTACGACTACGACTGCGACTACTACTGCTACTACTACTACTGCTGCTAGCCCAGGACATCTAAGGAGCATCGCAGCTGTCAGGGCCAACCAAGCTGCACCTAGGAGGCCCGAGGCTTCTTGCATGAGCTGCCTTCCCCGTCATCGGACCGGCGCTTGGTCTTAGCAGCGACAGCAGCAGAGAGGTTCTCGAGGCTGCTACCCTTGACAAAGCTGCGCACTGTCTTCTTAGCATCCTCGAGGAAATCCAGTTCATCTGGACCGTCCAAGTGGCGCTCACCTGACTGCTTGGCCGATCTCTTGGCTGAAGCCAACACCAGCTTCTTGAGCGCAGTCTTCTCTCCTTCTGTGAGAGCCATCACCACAGGTCTGCCTAAGTGCTGCCTAGCTTAGCCTACAGCTGCTATGCGCCTAAGTGCCGCAGTGCCGTCTAAGGTCTAAGTGCCGGCTGTCGCCTACCGCCTAATGTGTGCTGCTTGTTGCTTGCTGCACCGCTTCCGTGATACCATGTTCCAAAAGAACCCTATTCCCCTCATTATTAAGGGCCCCTACATTATAGTACCCTTATAGATCCCTTATAGTATGTAACCCTTATAGATCCCTTTCAAAGGAACCCTATACCCCTAATTATAAAAGGCCCCTATATTAGGGGTTTTCTGGGCTCAGGGACTCCGAGGCAAAAAAACAAGAACACTTACCGGGATTCATGCGAGGATTAACAGCTCCGTGGGGTTTAGGGCTTAGGTTGGATACTGCCCCCATACGGGAGTTTCCGAAAATTAGGGGTACCTTATTTTCGGGTCCTTATAATAAGGATCCTACTAATTAGGGTGCTAAATTAGGGTCCCCTATTTTCGGAAACTCCCATACAGTAACAGTCTATAATACGGCTATCATTAAGGGCCTGATATAGCCATGTTGTTATCCAACTGTTACTGAGTGGGGGCAGCATCCAAGGTTTAGGGTTCATGCCGAAATCCTGGACTTGATATTTCTGTCTTTCATACATCGGGTTTAAGGTTTAAGGGCTTCGGTTTTATAGGGTTTACCGTTACCCCGAAACTCAACCCAGTTATGGTTTAACGGCATGAGGTTTAGAGTCCAAAAATCTTGAGCCCAACATCTACTTTAGCCCAGAACCTTCAACTGCAGCCATCGACCCGTGAATTGAGCCTGAAACGAAAAATCGGAAACAGGATTCCCAAGGCCCCACCTGGGTACGAGAAGACCTTCAAGTTTAGGGATCCATACTGCTGATGGACAAAATCCTGCATTACCCATTCTAAGGAATATACCATAGTTCCCATAGTTTAGAGTCCTTAGGGTAATGCAGGATTCTGTCCATCCACCGTACGTAGCATATGATGTCCCTCGGCAATATGTCCTTAACAGGTATGTTTCAGCCGGTCATGGTACATCCTGCACGGAACGAAAACATGCAAAAAACGTGCACGCCTTCACAGAAATGCTTAACCCCTAGGCAAGCCTGAGCCATGCCTCATAGGACCTTGGGGGTCTTGAGACTTTCTATTCTGTTCAACCTCCTATAGAACTCTCACAGAACCTGGAGAGAAGCCCCTATAAATCAGTTGCAGATCCCCTGGCCCTTAAAGATTTAAGGGAGCTTCAATCGTAAGCCCTAAAGCCATTGTATGCCATGACTTCAAGAGTGCATTCTGGATTGGAGTTCACCCACATGCATGCCAAACCAAGTCTAAGTGATTTGAGGAGGATCCTTTAGAAGCTGCCCCCCACCCTGTAATCGTGACTATCAGGATTATAATAGGGCCCTATTATATTCCAATTATACCACTATTACAGGGCGGGGGCAGCTTCTAAGGCGTACCTTAACCCTGAGAGCCTCAACTCTAAACCCTAACGGAATTCTGAACCCAAAAACCCTAAACCCTAAACCCCAAACCCCTAAACCCCTAATGGGGCCTGGAAAAGCCCCCGGTAAGTGCAGCCGAAGCCACAGACACAGCACCAGACTGAACCACGCCGCTCACAGTCAGCACACCCGTGTCCGCCTTCCGGCACTTCATGTAGGGTCTAGGGCTTGGGTTTAGGGTTTAGGGTTTAGGGTTCCTTAAAGGGATCTATAGGGTTTAGGGTTTAGGGTCTACTTATGGGACTTAGTAAGTAAGGTCATAACTGGGATAACCCCACTTAGGGGACTTATAACCCCAACTATAACCTACTTACTAAGTCCCATGATCCTCCAAGTAGGGTCTAGGGCTTTGGTTTTAAGCGTTGCTCCATGAGGTTTTGAAGGCGGTATGGAATGCGCAATTGAGCTTTTGAGAGATTCCGAAACCACAAAAGCACTCTGGACCCTGAAACCCTGAGCTCTAAGCCCAAAACCCCTAAACCCTAGCCCCTAAATCGTAAACCCCTAAGCCCTACATCCGTACTCTTGGATACCTGGAACCTCTTTCTAAAGCCTAAGTGGGGCTTACGGCTTAGGGCTCCCTTGAAGGGTTCCTGAAAGGGGTTAGGGTTTAGGGTTTAATTAGGAGGTTTAGGGTCCAAGTTTAGGGTTTAGGGGTTTAGGGTTCAGGGTTTAGGGCCTACTACGTTGGGCTTCTAGAAGTGTGAAAGGTTTGCAAGGGCTTTAAGCGCGGGGCCTCAGTAGTTCCGCAAACCCCAAAATAGGTGGTTGTCAAAATTATGATCCCTTTTTGGGTACCTTAAATATTGGGTGCCGTACTAGGGACCCAAAACGGAAGCATAGTTTTGACAACTACCCAAGTCTGCAAAGGGCCTGTATTGCTCTTGCACCGCTGGTATCGGCAGCAGCTGTCGGGTGTAGAGCTTACTTGGAGGATCATGGGACCTAGTAAGTATGGTTATAAGTACCCTAAGTGGGGATATAAGCAATTATAAGTATAGTTACCTTAATTATATTATAACCATACTTACTAAGTCCCATGATCCTCTACCCTAGGACTCCCGGAGAGTTTGGGGAGAATGATTCCTGACTATACACAGTTGTCCTTTTATAAGCGGCCCTAAACCACCCGAAAGCCTGAACCCTGAACCAACAAACCACCCTAAACCGTCCCCGCCTAGCGCAGGAACAATCCAAAATCGCAAACCGTGAAGCCCACACATCATGACAGCGTTGCAGCGCAGCAGTAGTAGTAGTAGTAGTAGTAGTAGTAGTAGTAGTAGTAGTAGTAGTAGTAGTAGTAGTAGTAGTAGTAGTAGTGTAGTAGTAGTAGTAGTAGTAGTAGTAGTAGTAGTAGTAGTAGTAGTAGTAGTAGTAGTAGTAGTAGTAGTAGTAGTACTAGTAGTAGTAGTAGTAGCAATAGCAGTAATAGTAATAGTAGTAGTAGTAGTAGTCGTCGTCGTCGTCGTCGTCTTTGTCGTCGTCGTGCTGCTGCTGGTGGTGGTGTTGGTGGTGGTGGCGGTGGTGGCAGTGATGGTGGTGGTGGTGGTGGTGGTGGTGGTGGTGGTGGTGGTGGTGGTGGTGGTGGTGGTGGTGGTGGTGGTGGTGGTGGTGGTGGTGGTGGTGGTGGGAGTTGTGGCGGTGGCAGTGGGTCGTCGCAGCAGTAGTACGCGCAACAGTAGTATAAGCAGTAGCAGCAGCCGAAGCAGTATAACCAACCGCTACAGCAAGAATGTGCCAGCATCAACACAACAGTTCTCTGCAACCAAAGCCCATTTTACGACGAATCGAATGTTCGAAGTAGCATTTTCGGTAGCAAAAGAACGCGCATGGCTTGGCCACACTCGCTGAAACATTCTCCACTGGGCGGATCACGGGGTTATCTACCCATGAACCTCCAAGTAGCATGGATTGGATCATTGCAAAAATCGAAACGTCTTGCACTGCACAATCGTTGAGAGGCATGAGGCATCAAGGAAGTCGGAGAATACCCCGGCAAGAACATGTGCCGCCGCTGCAACAATCTCGGTACTGGTGTACCAAGCCGGTAGCAAATTAGATGAAGGTTTTTCCCATGAGTTTGGGGGCAAGTATGCCTTTTCTTCATGGCAACTCTCCAGCTGAAACTTCACTGGCTCGACTGGCCTGGGGCCTTGGGCAAAAAGCTAAGGTCCTAATGAAAGTAATTACATGCAGGCTCATAAGGAATCATCCTCCAACTTGAGATTGCAAATCATTGCTGGCCCGTTGGCCCCGCTCCTGAAGGCTTATCGACGGTCTGGTTGGGCAGAAGCTGACCGTTCTCCGCCAGGCCTACGTCTTCAAGTACATCCTCATCGCCCCCTGAGGCCGTGGAAGATGCGGACGACACCGTCGCAGCCATAGACCGCCACCTGAAGTAGTCCTGCTGCCAAAGCAAATAATCTTCATGCAGATTCTGGCGGGAGGAGAGACGCAAGGATCCATCATCTGGGTGCACACTCGTGGAGTTTGCCTCCAGGTCTTTTGACATGGCCGGCTTCTCCAAGCTGTCTCTCTGGTCCCTCCGACTGCGGCGTCCAGGAAAGACCAGGCGCACAACGATCTGCATGATAGATACCAAAGCTCCCGAACCATTTGGAACATAAACCCAAGGGTTCTGAGTGCTGATGCCATAGACGGTCCACAACAGATTGCTAATCAACACGATGAAGACCAGAGACAGGAGGATCGGAGAGGCATCCCGTCGACAGCAATAGGTGTACAGGCGCATAACGGGTCGAGAATAGGCGACAAATGCCGCCATGGACCCCACCTTACTTCCCCAATCAGCCACAGAAACAGACGGTTAAACTTTCAGATTACTACTAAACTATCAGAGCCCAAAAAGTTTGGCTGAGTATTGGAGAACTAAGCCACGCACCCAAGGACCTCCTCCCTCAAAGACACGGGAAAGATCTCGCTGACAATCTCCAAACCATCAAGTTCCCACTTACCCAAGAAGCAGCTGATGAAAGAGATGGCAAGGAATCCTCCAACCTAGTCCATGGCTGGGATACTTGAAAAATGCAAATTTTGATTCCTCCTTGGGTTTAAGTACCCATAGAAATATAAAATGAAAAAAAATCGAACGTCTATTTCTTCTGTGGTTTAAGTACCCATGTGAAATATAAAATGTTGCCTAACTACGACAATCCAAGGGCAAAAAAAGGACCCTTAATAAGGACCCCTAGGTATATACCCTTCATATTAGCTATTCTATACCCATAATAAAAAAGCCCATTATAGGGTAGGGGTCCCCATTAAAGGTCCCTCCTTTTCCCCTAATTAAACCCTAAACCCTAAACCTAAACCCTTATAGATCCCTTTAAAGGAACCCTAAGAACCCTAAATTAAGGGTCCCTCCTTTTCTCCTTTGAGGCAAAGCAACAGTCTGCCTCTCCAGCCTTCTCAGCATAGCGCTGCGCTGCTCTTTGCTGGCTTCATGCCAGGCTCCTGACATCTCAAGGTTTTAGGGTTTGGGGTTTAGGGGTTTAGGGATTTAGGTTTAGGGTTTAGGGTTTAGGATTTAAGGTTTAGGGTTTAGGGTTCCCTAAAGCTCCATGTGCCCATAGAGTAGGTACTTAGGCCTTAAAGTACCTATATAGGGACCCCTTTAAGGCCTAAGTACCTACTATATGGGCACATGGAGCCTTTGGGTTGAGGGCCTCCAGTCCAGGGCCAGAACAAGACCTCAAGCCCGACAAGGTACCAACTAATTACCTATCCCCAAGGGTCCAACGGTTGATGATATAAATCCTGCATGACCCAGAACAAGGAATATACCATTATTCCCATAGTTTAGAGTCCTTAAGGTCATGCAGGATTTATATCATCAACAGAAGTACTCAATAATCATATACTCTCCGAAATCCTAACCTACATAACTACTATCCTAGAACCGAGTAGCTGATTATTGCGTCCTTTGGACCCTTGGGGTATTACATAAACTACGATGGGGGGGATATGTACCCAAACCATTAAAGCCATTCCTACTATAGAAACCCTTCTGTGCACTACGTAAGCACTTAGGACGCTTTGGGAAAGCAAAAAACATTATCCAGTGGCGACCCAGTCTCGGGATGTACTGCGTCGAAGGAAGCCAGCATCGACTGGCTTGCACAACTGACTAACTGAGCCCTCCTCCTGCCTGGGTTGCATGGGGCAAAGAACACAGGGACTTTCACTTAGCTTTGAGATGAAGCTTAGGGCTTCAAGAGCGGATGTAATTACTGGGGTTGTCCGAAAATAGGGGACCCTAATAGAGTACCCCAAATAGTTGGATCCTTATTATGAGGACCAAAAAATAAGGTCCCCTAATTTTCGGAAACTCCCAAATGTGTGCCCAGGTGCGAGAGCAAGGTGATGGCGCTGGTGATGTTGTAGAGGCAAATGGCTGCGGCTGGACTCGAGGCCAAGAAGAGCCAGACGTCTCCAACCTGCACGGCGTAGACGGCCCAAATGTAGAAGTTGACGAAGAGAAGCGGCAACTGCCGTGTGTCAAAGCCGTTCAAGCTTCCCACTGCCTTGGCGCGGAGCATCTCCCGAAGGGGCGCCACGGCGATGCCTGTGGCCACCAGTGCCCCAACGCCTGGGTTCTTGTTAAGGAGTTTAATTTCAGTTACCAGAATAGGGATCTACAGTACATCCAAAAATGATTTCTTTACTATGGTAACTGAAATTAGATTCCTGAACCTCTAAACCCTTATAGAACCCTGAGCTGAACCCTAGAGTAATTAACTTAAACTGACTTCCTTAACCCCTACACCCTTAAAGAACCCTCGCAGGAACCCTAAATCATGGTATATAACTTGAGTGGACTTCCTTAACCCCTGAACCCTTATAGAACCCTTAAAGGAACCCTAAAGTATGGCAACTTAAGTTAAAACCCTAAACCCCTAAACCCTAAACCCTATAAACTCCTTAACAAGAGCCCGGACGCAACCCGTGCCATGGATCAGGGCTAGCTCTTGGGACGACGACATCGTGTCCTTCTGTGCGGAGGAGAAAGGGGCTGAAGAGCTGAAGGAATTGAGCCAAAACTCGCGGATGTGTTGGGGTTTAGGGTTTAGGGGTTTAGGGGTTTAGGGTTATGTGTTGGGCTTTAGGATTTAGGGTTTAAGGGTGTGGAGTTGAAGGTTTAAGGATGTGCAACATGTCTTTAGATCTCATCCTCCCCCTGCTCTTCACCGACAAGGATTGCTGTTGCCTTGATGCAAGGATGCATTTGGTCACAGGCTGCCCTGCCGAAGCTTAGAGAATGGGTTGGCTTACTTGGAGGATCATGGGACTTATAGTAAGTAGGGTTATAATTAAGGTAACTGTACTTATAACTACTTATATCCCCACTTAGGGTACTTATAACCTTACTTACTAAGTCCCATGATCCTCCAAGTAGGGCTGAGGCCGTTACGGTACGGCGATTTACCAACAGCCATGTTGACTCTGGCGAAGTAACTCTGCAGAGCTGCAACTCTCAGGCAGTTTGTGGTGTTGCCTTGCAGACCTTGCTTAGAGGATCAGGGGACTTAGTAAGTAGGTTATAATTCGGGTTATAAGTCCCCTAAGTGGGGTTATCCTAATTATAACCTACTTATAACCTTACTCACTAAGTCCCATGAACCTTTAAGTGAGGCATATCAATAGATATCAGCTGCTGCTACATCTTGTTTCGCTGTCCAGGTGCTCGGCTGAAAGCAGGACTGATCTCTGGCACGGCACCTAAACCCTGAAATTCCTAAAGTTAAGGGATCTGGTGGCGCCTTGGAAAACTCTAAGCCGCTTTGGCCATTCTGCTTCTGGATCTTCACCGTGAAGGTTTCTGCGTTCCTGAGCAATACCGGGGAGTCGTACACACGATAGGGTTTTGTTGGGAAATCAAGCATTTGGGAATAGACTGCTCTGCTATGACGTAGAGTTTCGCTTTTGAAGTGTCGATAACACAGCACCCTAAGCCGTTCGCCCTAAATCGCCGACACTACGGCCGCGGTGTTTCAATGACCTGTTACTAGTACAACTGCTGCTGCTACCGCTACCACTACCGCTACCGTTACTGCGACTGCGACTGCTACTGACTGCTACTGCGACTGCTACGACTATTAGGTTGCTATTCATTACGATTATCACTGTTGCTACTATTGAGTTACTATTAATGCTATTATAATGTTTGCTTTTGAGGTTTTTGAGGCCCTGTATCAAATCCGGATGCCCCCCACTTCGTCCGTGCGGACCCGAACCATTGCAGCCAGGGCTCGACAGTTTCCCGTTGGCCTCAGTCCATGCACCCGGGGACTCCAAATCGGTCCCGGTTTTGGGGTTTATTGTTTTACTTAGAGGATCATGGGACTTAGTAACTAGGTTTATAACTAAGGTAACTACACTTATAACTACTTCTAACCCACTTAGGGTACTTATAACCTTACTTACTAAGTCCCATGATCCTCCAAGTACAGTCAGGGTTGAGGATGTTCGGGTTTGGGGAGAGAGCCTGCCTGCGGAACATCCCTCAGATTCTGGAGGAGGTTCCTAGTTCTAAGGAGACGGTGGAGCTTCCAGCATATAAGGGCTTCTGCAAGATGCGGATTCCCTTCTCCACTTGTCTAATACTAATGCCTATAATTACCCTAGACCCTAAAGACTCTAAACCCTAACAACCCCAAACCCCAAACCCAAAACCCTGCACTAGAGGGGAGGTCCAGGGTCAGGGGCTTGAAGTGCAAAATGCCTTTGGGGAAGCGGGCTTGGGGTTTAGGGTTCAGGGCTCAATGCTTAGGGCTTTGGGCTTGGGATCGAGGGTTTAGCCCTTGCGATCCCTCTCGCAAAAAGCCAAGAATCCGCGTTTTGCACCATGCGCCCGTCTGCTGCACAGATCATTGTTGCTGCTAAAGATTCACAAAAACCGAATTTTGATGGCAGGAGAGGACTTAAACACCCTAAACCCTAAACCCTAAAACCCCAGAATTTCTAATCACATCTCAAGCACAGTTCATCAGCCGCATCGGATCCGAGCATGCATCTTATCATGGGGAAAGTCAGACCTGACGGAATCACGTTGAGTAGTAAGGAACAACCTTGGTAAGTCGCCGTCTTAGTATGATTGTTGGTTGTGCTTTCGCCCTCATCCGTCAAGCTTTTCGACCTTAAGAAGTGACTATGAGAACCTGAACAGCCTTCCCTGCCTTTGGGGTTGCGGTTCAGGGTTCAGGGTTACTCGGGTTGAGGGCTTAGGCTAGGGCTTAGCTCCCCCAAGCCGAGCAGCAATGGCCTCATCCAGCTTCTTGTAATCTTCCTGGAAACGGAAAACCCTGGGTTTAGGGGTTTAGGGTTTAGGGGGTTGAGGGTTGTTTAGGGCTCAGGGTTTGGGGTTTAGGGTTTGGGTTCTAGGGTTCAAAAACCAAGCCATCGATCCTTCACACTACGCTGCTTGAAGCTACAGGCCTTCTTTGGTTTTAAAGGGATAGGTTAGGCTCCGATATGATAGTAGGAGCCGTGGGCATTGAGGAAAACAAAACTTGCTTCCGTACCTTGAACTGCCAAAACCTACTTTTGTCAGGGTCCTTATATTATCTGTTTCTAGTAGGGTTTGCAATAACAACCTACAGTAAAGGTAGTGTTTAATTAGGCCAGTCTGGGTTGGCCTTTAAACACCCTGAAAAATATTTATATGTAGGGCCCCTTATAAACCCAAATAAGGAAAATCAAAATGTCCCAAAATCCAACCTAGTAGTTCTGTTTCAAGGCATCCTCGCAGGCATCTTCAGCGGTTCTGGATATGCGTGTTTGTGCTGCAAATATCTTGCTCCAAGCCCTCTTTTCCTGCTAGCGCCAATCCCCTGACGGTATTAACCCTCAGCCTAAACCTAAACCCTAAACCCTCAACCCTTAGCCTTAAACCCTAAACCTTAAACCCCTAAACCCTCAACCCTTAATCTTAAACCCTAAACCCTCACCCTGAACCCTACCACAGACACCCAGAAACCCTATGAAAGCCTGAAGCCGCTCGTAAAGCCATAAAAAGACACCCCCGACGACCGAACCCGTAAACCCTCAACACTTACCTTTGGTTAGTAGGGAATGGAAGGGGCCTTATAAAGTGGTCTATAAGGGTTACAATAAGGGATCTAGACCGAACCCGTAAACCCTAAAACCGCCCTAAACTTTAACTAGACCCAAGAATAACCTAGGTTAGGTACTGCCCCCATACTGTAAGAGTCTATAACAGGGCTACTATTAAGGTCCTAAAAGAGCTATACTATGAATATTATTCAACTATTACTGAGTGGGGGCCGAATCCAAACCCTAGGACGGAAAAGGGTGCCCTTTTTGGTTTAAAGGGGCTTATAAAGGACCTGAGCCCTAAAAAAAAAGATAATAAGGGTCTACTGTAGGTCCTAGTTAATCCTACAGCCCAAGCCCCTTCTGCAGCCCTTAACCCTAAACCTTGAGCCATAAAGCCTAAACCTTAGCTCTCTCATGGGAACCCTTACAGGAACCCTTAAAGGAAGCCTCAAAGGAACCCTTTAAAGGAATGCTTAAAAGGAACCCTTGAAAGGAATCCTTAAAGGAAGCCTTACTTAAAGGAAGCCTTCATGGAACTCCCCAGACCTTCCAAAACCCCTTAATTAAGGAATATACCTTAAATTAGAGTAGGATCCCTAAACCCTAAACCCTAAACCCTAGACCCTAAACCCTAAACCCTAAAGATTTAAGGCATATTCCTTAATTAAGGGATCATGGAACTCTTAAAGGAAGCCTCGAAGGATCTCTTTGAATCCAACGCTCTTAAAGAACCCTGAAAGGAGCTTCAAAAAAGGAATCCTAAAGCAAGCCTTAAACCCTAAACCCTATATCGTATATACCTTGTTAGGGCCCTTATGCCTTATCTGAGTTGGCCTTTAAGCACCCTGAAAAATATTTATATATAGGGTCTCTTATAAACCCAAGTAAGGAAAATCAAAAATGTCCCAAAATCCAACCTAGTTATAACCCCATATATCTCCTTGAAAGGAGCTCTGCACCCCAAACCCTAAACACCGGGGCAGTCCTTCGGATTCACCGAATCGACCTCCACCATTGTAGACTGGCAGCGACACGCAGAGCAGGCCGGGTTTATGGTTCAGGGCTAAGGGGTTCAGGGGTTAGGGTTCAGGCTTTAGCTGTTCAGGGTTTAAGGGTCAGGGCTTCTTTCAAGAAGCTATAAGGCTATAAGGGGTCATAAGGGGCCCAACAACTCATGTACTACATAGGGTTTGGGGCCTGGGGTAAAAAAGAACCCTTTACGGTTCAGGGTTTCGGGGATGGGTTTAAGGTTCAAGGTCGAGGGTTCTGTATGGTTTAAGGTTTAGGGTTGAGTTAGACTCACTTTAGCCTGCCTGTCCAGTATCCTTGGCGATTTATAGGATAATCTTCAGGATTTTACATGGGTTCGTACCATAATCTTTGGGTTCATTAGCTATAGTACCTCAACATAGTTAAACTATCGGATCATGAGAGGTTACCTAGTATACTGCGGTTAGGGCTTAAACCCTAAACCCGAAGCTCT